GTATTCTTGCTATGATTTGATTATGACCCCCAAACTCATGAGTTGGAAAAGCAATTCCCCCCCGCAACGATGTTGGCAGGGGGGTGTTTCTGGCTCCCCACCTGCTGTGTTATGATGTAACAAGTGGCCATCCCCAGCTGCAGCCCCTTGACCTTGAACTTCCCGCCCTCTCCAGAGGTGTGAGAAATTGATCTCCACTCTTTATAAATTACCCAGGCTGTGTGTCTGGCAGTACAAATGGACTAAGATGTGTCTGACAAAGACTATTTTTTTTAAATGCTGCAAACTCCTACAGAGATGTACAAAAGAACAAACACCGAAAGAGCTATCTTTATTAGAAAGAAACTGGAAAAATTCAGACACACAAGCCATGTAGAGCTGCGCCATCCTGATAGACTGTTATTCTTGTGTTGTGGCCTGGCACACAGACCTGAGTGTGCAATAGTAGGTAGAGCTGCCTTGACTCTAGCAGAGCCGAATAATGTGCAGCTGCATCTGGGCCTTGTACCAGAAACTCCTGCGCGGAGTGGCCACCAGCCCATGATCAGGAAGGCACAGGTATCTCCACTGGGCCCTCTGTCTTCTTGCCTTTCCTTGCCTATACTTGAGGGTTGTCCTACACCTAGAAACACTGCTGCTTCTGGTCCTTTTGGCCACTTTGCCTACTTCATTCATGGAGAGGAGTCAGAGGAACATTGCCTTGGGAAAAGAAATGTAAAAGGATGTTGCTTTTTGCATTGATCAAAAGTCAGCACCTCTCTTTCTTCAGAAGATGGATGAAGCCCAGGTCCAAGCCCTAGGGAAGCCAGAAAACAGTGGCTCTGTGAAAAGTGAAGTCCTTCCTGGCCTCAGCATATTCACAGCTAGGCCACCCAGAAGCCTGCCAAGCAACTGAATATGTTTTAACCATTATTTCTCTCTTGGGGGGGGGGGAGTCATTGGTAGCCTGGCAACAGAGATCTGCATGTTCTTCATGCCAGGCCGTAAACACAAGCTTTCCCTCTGCTCAGCCTAATGATGCTCAAAGGCCGGCAAGCAGCAGAAATCAGGTGGCTGCAGCATGGACGGTGGGAACAGGTCAGAGCGCACGTTGCAGGCATTGCCACCGTGACCCATGGCTCTCAGGAGAAACCCCCAGCTCAGGGGGAGCTCCCGGCCCACCCAGGGTTTTGTTCTACACCAGCCAGGAGTGGGATTGTGGAGTCCAGCATGGGGAATGTGCCTGGGAGATGGGCTGCCTGGATGGGAGGTCTGGGTTGGGGTGCTGCAGCCTCTCTGCCTCCTGCCCCCAGCCCTTCCTTCTTCCTTCCTGGGCATCCACATGACTTGTTTTTGATGCCATTTTCCAGCTGGATTTACCTCTCCTCTGCACTGTTACAGGAACAGGTCTGAAGCAGTAAGGGAAGTAAAGCTACTCCCACTATTCAGTGTCGCTTTAAAAAGGTCAGATGGAGGACTGGTTAAGAATGAGGCCTTGGACTCGGACTACCTGACTACAGGTCCTGATGCCAGCTGAGTGGTCACAGAAAGGTCCTATCTAGGGTCTCAGTTTGTGCCTCTATGTAATGGAAATAGAAATAATTCCTATAAAGTTTGCTACTGCCGAGGATCTGTCCTAAGCATGAAAAGAACACTGGCCATTATCACTGTCATTATTGTCACTCTCTGAGATCTACCACCATCAGCAAGTAGCACATCCATTGTGTTTTCTCCTCTCCAGATGCTGGGTGGAGATGAGGACCTTTAGATGATGCTGTGCTCCGGATTCACTTTAGTAGAGTTCCTGGTGCCATGTTGGTTCTGTACTCAGTTTACCTAATGAGGCTGTGCTCTGGCTCACTGATAGGATGCTGATCTACTGTATTAGCCAGCTTTCCCATTGCTAGGACGAAACACCGGACCCACAACTTAAAGAGGAAAAGTTTAATTTGATTTCCTGCTTCGGGGGGTTGGGTCTTGGTTGGCTGGCTCTTAGGAAGGAACAGGGTGAAAGTGCATGGTGGAGGAGAGCTGGTCACTGCATTACGGCCAGGAAGCAGAGAGAGAGAAGCAAGAGAAGAATAGGAGGGAGATATACCCTTCCAGAGCATGCCCAGGGACCCTCCTCCACTACCGAGCTTCTAACCGTAAACTTAGCTATAAATTCATTAGTGGATTAATCTGCTGATGAGTGTAGCACCTGAACAATCTAATAACATTCAAAAACCCCACCTGGAGACTTTTGGGGGACATTCTAGAGCTAAACCATAGCACCACAAGGCCCTGGGTTCCATCCTTAAGCTTAGCAAAGCAAAAGTATCTTAATGATGGCTAAGTCTGTGGGGGATGAGAACGTGCCTACCTTGCAGACTGTCATGAACCATTCACCACACAGAGAAGGCACAAAGCGGGTGCCCAGGAGGGCTCCTGCAGGATCTAAGTGCATCTTCCCACATACTGCTTGCTGGACCCAGGGAAACATCAGGTAAGGTGTCTTCCCCAGCACCCTGACCTGCCCTCAGAACCACCAAAGTCAAAGGAAGGGGAGAAAGGAAGGGAGGAAGGAAAAAAGGTAGGGTGGGAGGAAGGAAAGGAGAAAAGAAAGGAAAGGGAGGAGGAAGGGAGAATGGCTGAAGAAGTGGCCCAGATCAAAGAGACATGGAACTTGAATGCAGTGCATGGAGCTGAACCGAACCCCGTTGGTCCAGGACAGGGAAAATGGTGTCCATGTCGTTATAGAGGACACGGGTGACATTAGAATGTGGATTAGGTGACATTGCTATATTAACATTACATTTTCTGATTTACATCACTGAACTGTGGTCATATAACAGACAGTTCTTAGTCTTAGGAAATATACATCAAAATATTTAGATATTTACTCAAATAGGAGTAAAGAAATGAGATCACAACCAGATCAGAAAATCTGTACACTGTATATATTAAAATTATATATTACTTATGCATATATATGCACACACACCTATCATCTAGCATGTATTTATCATCTCTCTGTTATCCATCTATCTGTCTATCTATCTATCATCCATCTATCTACCTACCTATCCTGAGAGAGGGAAAGGAACATTTTTCCCAGCCTAGTTGTCACTATTGAGGCTTAAAAGACAGCACTATTCTCCTGACCTTTTTCAGTGCTGCCTTGGGATTTTATGGAGGTGAGCTCATTCCATGCATATTTCTTGGCTCAGCATTGTGAGTCTGAGCTGCATCTGTCTTGCTGTGTAGAGGGCCAGTTTGTTCATGTCCCTTGCTGTGTAGGTTTTACCCAGTCTCCCACTGGTGCATATTTGGGTTGTCTCTTCTTTTTGAATGATGTAGTTTTCTTTTTGAATTTTGGCACACACCTTTTGTGGACATGTGTATAAATTTGTGGGGGTTGAGTCGTGGGAGTCAGGTGGTGAACTCGTGTGACAGGGACCCCTCCCCAGTCAGCAGAGACTGACAGGAGTCCAAGTCGGTGAAGGAGCATTCCTCATGCTCCACATCCTCATCAACACTTGCTATTGTTGGGCCGTTGAGTCTAGCCCTTCTACTAAATGCATACTGCTGTCTTGTTATGGGTTTACGCATTCTCTAATGCTACTGAAACTGAAGCTTCATGCTTATCAGGCACTCTGTTTTGCACGGTGTTTGCTCCAGCCTGTTGCTGGTTTCTCTGTGGCCTCTTGCCTCCTGTTGATTTGGAGATGTTTTTTATGTAGGTGGGTAGAATTCCTCTGTTTAATACACCTCCTCCCAGTGCTCTTTTCTGTTCTGTGGTTTGGCTTTTCAGACCCTTCATGATATCTTCTGATCAGTAGTTTTATTTTAGTGAAGTCTAAATTGTCAGATTTTCCTGGAAAACCGTATTCCAATCTTTATCCTCTTAATGGATTGAATAGAACATGTGTAAAGGAAAAGCAAGAGATCTCTGGGCTACATTTCCTGGCCTGGACTGTCACTTTGGTGTGAGTGGGATGAGAGAACACCCCTGGGAGTGACAGGAACCCACGGGACATCCTAGCTCAGAATTAAGTCCTAGCCACTGACTGCCCCCCTGCAGTTGATACACATCACTTCCCTAACCTGGCAAGTGAGGCTAGCATCCACCTCTGAGGAGGACCAGGAGTCCGTGATGCTATTATGGACTAGAGGTTTCCATTCATTCATTCAGTGTTTGAGTGGCTGTATGTGCCAACCCTGGAGGAGGAGAATAGTAAGTACTGCATTGATAATTAGCCCAGATAGACAGCAGAGAGACAAGGAAGAAGGAACATAGCAACCCTATATGCTTTTGTTCTGAGCAGTGCTGGAGGTAAAATCATGCTCAGTCCAGCTTTGGTCTCCATGCTTCCCCAATAAGGCTGTGAAAACACCCGTGCTTCCTTAAAAGTCTAGACCAGCAACCAGCACTTCACCAGCAGAGTAAGGTTTGCCCAGATCAGCATGGACAGCCCAGGAACGTGGGTGGGTGAATCAGAAGATAGCCATGCAGACAGATGAACGGCAGTCTGTGAGACGTACAGTCCCAGGCAAAAGGGCCCAGGTATCAGAAGATGAGACTTTTAACTTACTATTTTGTCTAATCTCATTAAACCCGTTTTACAGATTAGGATACTGAGTCAGTGACACATCTGACATTACCTTGGATGACAGAAATGTGATGAGAACCCAAGTTGGCCAACTTGTCCTACTACTCAGTGCTGACCCAGACCACTGGATAATTATTTTCTCAGCACCTTTACCAAAATTGTACCCACGTCGAAACCTAGAAGAGCACATCCTAGAGAAGAAGTGTGAATGGAACTATTACCAAGTCCCTCCTGCTAGACACTGAATTAATCTGCTCAGGGAAGAAACACACCTGCACCTTTCATCATTTAGCTGGTGCATGAATATTATTAAATGTGCCATGCTGGAGCTAGGGGAAAATCTACTTCCTCTATTCTTCAAGAGCACACAGACAGGTGAGTGGGGGCAGCAGGGAACAAGAGGTTGACTCTGAGGCTCAGCTGGTGAAGAGAAAGTGCAGAGGGGGAGGGGGGTGGAGAGGAGAAGGTGCCCAGGCAGGGAGCACTTAGCTCAAACTACCCAGCTCTGGCATGCAAGCTGGAACCATCACACTGACATCATGAAACCTGTGGCAGAGGCTTTATGTATCAAGCTGGGTACTAGCATGGGCTGCCTGCCAAACCTAGCTCCCCAGTGCATACTTGGTTCATGGGGGGTCAGCTGGGGGCTCTGGTGCCTAATGTCCAGCCCAAGGCTGCCTGAGCTGCACAACTTCCCTGGTCACTCTCCCCTGATGGTACTGGCACCAGCAGTCAGCAGTGGCTTTCATCCTGGAAACCCCAGGTGGATCCTGGATGCTCAGCCTGCAGACAAACATCCTCAGGGCTGTTCCCTAGCAACCCACTCTGCTCCAGAGCTGCGAGTCCACAGCAAAAGCCCTCCCATCCATTTGCAACGAGGCGTTTGGTTTTAGGTGCTCCGGGATGCTTCCTAATGTCCCTTCAATGATCCACGAAGCCATTTGCTTATAAAATCTGCCATGTGCCTTCCTTCTCCTGCCCCCACCCCTGCCCTTCCGCCAGAACGAAGTGCAGTGAACTCTCTGCGACAGACGCAGCCAGTGGAACCCTGGGTGGCTTGTCGAACAAAGCCCTCATTCCACTGTGGCGGCGGCAGCGTGGGGCAACTTCCCTTGTGGGGATGCTGCTGCCCACCGTGGGCTGTGCTGGAAGAGGGTGGAGGGATGGCCAGGATCCAGAAGACAAGAAGGAAAACAAGCCCTGCGCCAGGCAGAGGTGGAGGAGGGGGAGGAGAGGAAGAGGGGAGGAGGGGGAGGAGAGGGAGAGGGGGAGGAGAGGGAGAGGGGGAGGAGGCGCTGGGGAGGAGGGGAGGGAGGAGGAGAGGCCACTTCATTTATTTATTATGATGCCTGTTGTGGTGTTGGTCTCATGTGTGGGGAGCAGACTGTATTTTATGTTTTAATCCTCCAAGCTGTGTGTGTGGGCTGGGGATAATTACATTGAAAAATGTGTCTAATATGCGGAAGGTTCTTTTTGTGGGGAGTGGGAATGCTCTGGCGGAAAATCTTCTTCATGGCAACTGGTCCCTTTTCCATCAGCCTCTCAGAAGGTGCCAGTAATTGGGAGCGTGGCAGGAGCCAGCCCCCCACCCCAGCCCAACCAGGGCTCCTCAGGTGTGGGGAGGGAGGGGGCTTGGCCCCGGTGGAGCAGGGGCGCCTCTCCCCTCCCCTTGCCTGCCCACAGCCCGGGGTGTGTGGGAGGAGTGACAGGCAAATGGGAGGGCTGATTGCTTTCTTGGCCACAGCCTTGGGCCCAGCTGCTGAAGAATGCAGGAGGGAGGTGACAGGCGGGCTGCTAGGAGACAGAGCTGCGGTGTGCAGGACACGCATGTGCATGTGCATACAGATGGCCACACAGACCAGCCCAGCCTAGCCATCCACATGTGATACATATCATGCACACACTCACACGTGCATGTGGCGTACCTGTGCACACTCACACAACTACTCATGCACAGAGGCACATGTGCACAGGCGCACACACAGGTGCACACACACCAATACCTTCCCGTGCAGCACAAACAGGCATGCACACATTTGTGTGCTCACGTGCTCACACACATGTACCAACTTAGTAGCCATGCCGTCTGCCGGCTGCACATCTGTTTGCACTAATTTACACCTTTTACCCATTGTTTTGCATCAGCACGAGCACTCCTATCCCTTCTCTCTCATACACACACCTTCGTATGTATTTGGACACACACATACGACATCTTGCCAGGGCTGACGATGGTAAAGTGGTATCAGAAATATTGCCAGTGACATTTTGATTTGGAATTTTAGAAAACTGACATCTGCCTTCCTTAAAAGGCCAGCAAAAACAAAACAAAACAAAAAAATCCACAACCCTGACACGCTAAATATTTATTTTTTAGCACACATGCCTTGGCGGTGGCTCTGCTCACTTAATTCAAGCCACATGTGAGTGTGCAAACTTTCCTTTGGCTGGGGGGGGGTGCTGATTTGATGCCTGTTTACTCAGTAACTGCAGATCCAATGGAAAAGGCGCCCAGCCTACTGAGATGCCAATTAGTTTCCCTGTCCACGGTGGGCCAGCATCCCCGCAGGAAGAAATCCAGGGAGCAGACAGTGAGGTCCTCGGAAAGCCCAGCTGTGATGAATAGGACTTCTGGTTCCCCTGGGATCTGGCTGGTTATTTTGTAGGAAATTGAATTTCTTGGTAAGTTAGAAGACGTGCTAATGAGTACTAATGTCAGGCCAGGGCAGGAGCTGAGGGTGGGCTCCAGCCTGGCATCAGTTGGGTCAGCTTCCTATTCAGCCTCTGTGATCCCCATCCTCATTTCACCCCTAGCCTCTAGCACAATTCACCCACTAGAATGCTGGCCCTCCCCAGGCCCTGCTGTCAAAGCTGCCCTCCTCTGGCATCTTGAAAACCTTCAGTGGGCAGAAGCTGCTGAGACAGCCTGCAGCCTGCAGGATCTGGCCAGGGCAGGGGTAGGGGTGGCAGCCTTGGCCCCTTCTCTGTGGGTGGCAGATTGAGTGGCTTCTGCTTCTCCAAATACTTCATGCTGGGCTCTTCCCTGGCCAGTATAGCACTGGGCAGTGTTTCCTGAGCTCACTTTGTTCTTGGCCTAGACCAACCCACTGGGCATCTTCAGAAACTTCTGCACCTCCATTGCTTCCGCTGCAGTGAGAGCAGGACTCCAGGTCGGGAGGGCAGACGTCCAGAGCCTCCAGGCCATGGCTTGCTGGTCTGGTGAGCTGTGTTCCCTCTACCCACCCTGCTTCACCTGAGCTGACTGTCCTCAGATGCTCCAGCTGAGCTCCTTGGCAGGTGGGGCCTTTGAGTGAGCTCTTCTGCTGCCAGGGAAGTTCTCAACCTGGACATAAACATGGCTCCCTTCCAGAAACAGACCCTAGTCTCTAGTCTTCCCTATCACACTTCTCTGTGGCCTTTGTCCACGCCTGTCCCACTGTATATGTCCCCGGAACATGAGCTTTGGGAAGACACATGCAGGGGTTACTTTGGTCATTGTCATCGAATCTCTTGCACCCAATCCAAGCGCACGTGCGAGGAGCTGCTCCACAGCTGCCTGCCTGGTAAACGAAGGAGGGGGACAGATTCGGCCTCCAGGCCCACCTGGCCTCCTCAGTCCATCCCAGGATGGCCTCTTTTGGCTTATCTCAGGCCAGTGCAAACTGCCAGACTTTTCTATTTTTAAAAGTATTATAACTGCTCATCTTTATGGAGTACAATGCAGTCTCAATTCAGGCACACATTGTGTTATGATCAAATCAAGGTAATTAGCATATCTATCGCTACATACATTTATCGTTCCTTTGTGGTTAGAGCAATCAAAACCTCTCTTTTAGCTGTTTTGAAATACACAATACATCACTGTGAACTGTGGTCGCCCTAATATGCAATAAAATGCCAGAACTTATTTCTCTAATCTCTGAACTTCTCTTTCTTTGAAGTCTAAACATGTGTTGAGGGGCCTTGATGTATATTCACTCAGATTACACACCCAGACTGCTTTAGTTGAGTGTACACTGAAACTTTGTCATGTGCTTTTAGATATTTTACATGCATTCTCAGATTTGCTAGTCTCAAAGCTGCCAGGCATAAGGCAGCGTTGTCTCACTGGACAGGTGAACAAACTAAAGCTCAGAGAGGTGCTGTGATTCACCGGGTCACACAGCTCTCCTGTCTGTGGTCCTTCTCTGTACCCAGTATGGCTTCCTGGAGGTGGTGGCCTCTGGCCTTAGCTGCACCTGGCTATTTCCCATTCATCTAGGTCAAGTCTGCTATGTGAACCCCGTGCAAGAAAGTCCTCTGTCAGGCCAGAGAGCATCACAATGCCAGCACCAAGAGAGAGAGATGTCCCCAGCAAGAGTAGTCTCTAAAACCCCCAGTACTTCTTGACCTGGTATATTCTTCTACCCTTCGGGACTCTGCATCTATATCTATAAAATGGGTTGAACACCTCCTTTCAGGGAGTTATGAAACACAGTTGCTTTGTTCTAACCCCAAACAGTCTTTCTATAAGCAATATAGGAACTCCAAACTCAGGGAAGCTGGTGTCCAAAAGGTGCTTCTGCTCTGCTGCCCATGGTTACAGGCCACTAAAAATGCCATGCCTTGGCCCTCAGAAGCTGCCCTGTGTAACACAGTGGACCACACACACACACACACACACACACACACACACTGGATATGCCTGCTGGATCTATCCAGAGACTTTCAACTGTGTCCCCAAAAAGGAGTATGTGGGAGGTGATGGGGTGGTAATTGGACCAACACGGAAGGAGGAAGACCTTGGACCACTGCATACTGGCATGGGGTAAGCAAGAGCCCAAAAGCTGCCCAGGGTGAAGGTGAGAGGCAGATGGGATCGAGGCAGGGAGAAGGTGCAGGGACACAGGGCGAGAGCTAGTGGCAAATGCACAATTTGCAGCTCCGTCCCAGATCCTAGGGACATTTGTACATAGCGGTCCCCAGCTCTGAGCTTGGATCCTGGGAGCATTGCCACACTGCAGCCTGCAGCCACCGTGGAGCAAACAAAGCCAGAGGTTCCGCTGTAGACATGGCACGGCGGCTGTGGAACAGGGGCTGTCTGCACCTTTCAACGTGCCGTCTCATTTATCTTGTACCTCTGCAGCCCTTCTGAAGAGCGCACTCACAGCAGCTCATTCATTACGGCTCTAATAACAGCGGCGGGCCTGAGAGCACCAGGCTGCGGAGGAGCTGGCCTCTGCAGCTGCGGAAAGCCAATACCTTTTTAAATACATTTACACAGCAATAAATAAAAGCGGTCTCAGTTTACCTCTTTATTAAACTCTATTTGCGAGTCGGAGTTAAGGGCCGTATTTGTGTCTTGCTATTCAAATTTATTCGTGCGCGTCTCCTTGGCTGGCCACATTTATTCCGTCACGCAATAATGGTGGCTGAAGCTTAAGAGGGTCTTTCATCACCAGCCGCCCTCATTAAGGGCTCTGCTCCAGGCTCCGGGGCTCGATTTAGCTACCATGCAGACCACCCCCATTATCCAGAGGGGAAAACAAAGGCAGAGAACGATCACGCATGTCTTCATTAGTTTCACTCAATAACCAGCCAGACGATGCCAGGAGCTGGTGAGATCAGTGCTCTGCAAACTCTGGCGCAGAGACAGAGTCCCCTAAAGGCACTCACATATCTTTCCCTCCCCCATCCACGGTATTGGAGTCTCACAGATGAGTACAGGAAACGCTCTGAGAAAGCAAGGAATCCGTTCAAACTGATCTTGACCTTGAACATTCACTGTCTGTCAACATGAGCCTGTTTCAAGGAATACAGTCCGTGTATAGGTCTGGAGAACGTGCAGCGTGTACAGGTCTGCTTTGCAGTACCACAGCAGGCAATGTCTTGCCCCCACAGCACCTCAAAACATTCAGTCACCCTCTTTGGGCCTCCCTGGCAGAGGTTCTTGGACTCCCTGAAAGCAGTCCCTATGAACAAGCAGCCCCGGGCTGGAGATTTAGCTCAGCAGCATAAGTGCCTGCCTGGCAAGCATTAGGTCATGAGTTCAATCCCCAGTACCACAAAAAAAAAAAAAAAAAAAAAAAAAAAAAAGAACAAGCAGCCCCATGGCTGGCCACAACTCCTGTCCCGAAGTTCATGGAACATTCCACCCTTCTGATATCAGGGCCCGGAGGCCCCGTGCTGTCCTCAGAATCCAGCCAAAGCAAGTGGGCACCAGGGTGCTGGCTGGTTGGAGCCAGAACACAGGATGGCGAGGGCTTCCTGGGCAGGTGATGATCATACAGTTTTGTAACAGTAGCATGTGCAGAGCCCCAGGAGGGGACCTGGATGCATGGACATGCCCTCCTGTCCTTTTCAGTTACACTCCCCCATTCCACTGTGAATGGAAGATAGGTGGGGTCTGGCCTTCCAGCTGTTCACCTGGAAAAGTCCTACGTTCCTGTGGTCACCACAAAAGCATCCCAGTGCTGAATATGGGGGCATGCAGGAAAGAATGGCCTCCAGCAAGACAGAAGAGTCCCAAGTCTGTGGAACAATGGTGCCTGTTTTTCCTGAATGGGCAAAGCAGACACAGAGAGGTTGAATGCTTTGCCAAAGGCCACAGAGCTACTGGGGGTTCCAATGCAGAAAGTCTCCTCCTCCTCCCACCTGGTACCACCATCTCCGCAGAAGAAGGTCAGGAGTCACCTGCTGTCAGCACAGGCTCTTTCCCTCTTTCTGCTTCCTGGCCATCATGAGGTGGGGGAAAGCAGGTTTCCCCCACCAGCTGGCCATCACACATGCTCAGTCCCTTTCTGTGTACTAGAAATCAAAGTACTGACTTGTACGGTTCTTGTAGGTTCAAAGTGGTCACAGGGTTAAGTTTTAGACAATGAAACATACATTTGAAATTTTTGCTTAAATCTGAAGGGTAAAGGGTGGACTTCTTTCTGGAAAAGACTTTGTGAGGGTGAAGGATTTGCTTGTCATCTGGGTTGTGTTGTTGGGTTTGTGGATTTTGGGCACTTAACTTTGAGTTTCTTCCTACCTATAATTGGGGCCCAATCAACGTGTGTAAAAAGTGTGTGAATGGCTGGATAAAATAGCGGGTGGGGAGAAGGGAGAGGTCTCTGTGCACTGGAGTGACACAGAAGCTTTCTCCCAGGTGCTGGGATTAGTGATGCCATGCAAAGAAGGATAGGTTTACCCAGGAAAGAGGAAGGTACAGTGAGAAGTTGAAGGCAGAGAGGACCACAGGAGCCAGAGAACAGGGAAGGGAAGGAGCATGCACATCTTCCAGGTTAGCCCATTTTCTGCGGTGGAGGCAGCTTCGTGTACTCCCCATATCGTGGTGAATAAGCCTTCCCATATTTTGCTTTCTTCCCCCACACTTGTTTTCCTGTGGCAGACAGTTATAGCAGACAAGTGGCGATTGATCTCTTGCTTCCAGTAACAGACTTGAGCACAGTTCCCCAAGACACAGAGAGGAGGAGATCTGCACTGTGCAGAAACTCACCAGATTTCCTTGCCCTGAAATTGCAGTTCTTTATTGTCTAGAAAACCTCAAAGATAACTTCTGTTTCAACTCACGGGGCAGGGCACATACCAGAGTCCACAGGTGCCTTTGAGAGGGGCTAGGAGCTTTGAGCCTACCAGGATCGCTTGACAACCTCCAAAGCCCTACATACCAAGCAGGGCTCCTTGGGCCTGAGCGTGGATGTACAGAACAGCTTGTACAGAAATCAAGATGTTACAGCTCCCCAAACTCAGGTCTCTTTCCCACTATTGACTTAGATGATTCTACTGGAATGTGACTTACAGCCATACAAAGCTAGGAATAAACTTCTTCTGCTTATAGTTTACCTAAAATGGGGAACACAGACATCATCACACATTTAAAAATGAGATTGAGGAGCTGCAAATGTCAATTAACATCGATGGAATGCTGCTTTTTATGTGCCCAAATTTGCACCAGAGTCCTGCATAGGATGATAGCTGTCAGAGCAGACCAAGCTGTGAATTTTTCCTGGTCCTCTTCCTACAACAGGGGAAGGAGATGATTTTCCACTACTTGTGTCCACTGGAACCTCTGCAGTGTCTGCTCATATCATGCCACAGTGCCATCTGGGCTTCCCTGGGCAGAAGGCCATATGGCGCCAGCAAGACATCTGACAACCTGAGTGACACTTTGGAGCAAGGTGTCATCTGTGTCATAGTTCTCAGCCTTAGCTGCACACTGGAATCTCTCCGGGAGGCTTTGGAAATGTTCATGCCCAGGCCACACCTCAGACTAGTAAGTTTCAAGGCTTTAAAACTGCTCCTTTCATAAGCCAGTGCCCAGGCACATTGAAGACCAGAGATCTAACCCACTTCTCAAACTTGAGCTTGTGTCTGAGCCACCTGGCAACTGTGTGAAAACCCAGAGAACTGGATTCCATCCTCTGATTTCTGATTCTTCAGAGCCTAGAGTGAGCTGAGTAACCAGCGTCGGTCACAGGGTCCCTAAGTGATGTCGATTCCACTGGTTTGGAACCCTTTTCTTTTGAGAACTAACAGCTTCCACAATCTGAATAAACTTACATTCACTTGTTATGGATTATGGTAGATATTAAAATATTTGCATCAAGAACTCATGAATTTCAGAGCAAGAAGCTTGAAAAGCTCAGTTTGAGAAATATTCAAGGAATAGACCCAGCAATGGATTTGGAATCCAAGAACCAGGACCCATATCCTACCTCTACTCACGGGCCACTAGTTTGGCCTCTGGTCAATGACGGGCATCAGCTGCAACCATGCCGAAGGTGCTGTACCCGAGTCAGCTGTGAGAGGGGGGAGATAGTTCAGGGCTCATGCCCAGCTCCACTGCTTGCTGGCTGTGTGGTCCTGGGCACAGTGCTCATCAGCACCGCAAATGGGAAGTAACAGGTTAATGGTGTGGTAGTCACCTTGGGG